CAGCAGTGTCTTCCACAGAGCCCACACACAGCTCAGTGCAGCAGTGCCCCCCCTGCAGAGCCTGTGCACAGCAGTGCCCCTTGCACAGAGCCCACGCACAGCTCAGCGCAGCTGTACCCATTGCACAGAGCCCAGCAGAGCTCAGCGCAGAGTGCCCCCCCACAGAGCCCGCACACAGCTCAGTGCAGCAGTGTCTTCCACAGTGCCCACACACAGCTCAGTGCAGCAGTGACCATCGCACAGAGCCCAGCAGAGCTCAGCACAGAGTGCCCCCCCCACAGAGCCCGCACACAGCTCAGTGCAGCAGTGTCTTCCACAGAGCCCACACACAGCTCAGTGCAGCAGTGCCCCCCCTGCAGAGCCTGTGCACAGCAGTGCCCCTTGCACAGAGCCCACGCCCAGCTCAGCGCAGCTGTACCCATTGCACAGAGCCCAGCAGAGCTCAGCACACAGTGCCCCCCTCCGCAGAGCCCGTGCACAGCTCAGCGCAGCTGTGTCCCGGCGCAAGCACCTACCCGGGGTGCCGGCGTGGGGGCGGCACTCGCCCCCCAGGCAGACGCGCCACAGGCCCTGGCAGGCGGGGCCGCCCGGTGCCCGGTACTGCAGCCAGAAGTCGGTGGCAGTGGCGGCCACCAGCAGCGCCAGCCCGGAGGCCGCGCACAGCAGCCCCCCCCGTGCTGCCATCGCCACCCTGGACACAGCGGGGCGGGGGGACAGTGGCATCTCTGGGTGCTGCCACCCCAGCGACCCGCTCCTGCACTGGTAAACCCAAGGGACACCCATGGACTGGGGACACAGGGCAGGGGAGGGGGGGACACCGCTGAAGGTGCCTGGGCATCCCTGGAGGGGCTGGGGTACATTGGTGACACGCCCTTGAGGACTCCTGGTGGTGGCATCCCCTTGGGTGGCATCCCCGAGAGAAGGTGTCTCTGTAAGACACAGGGTGGCAGCTCTGGGGATGCTGAGGGACACAGAGTGGCATCACTGGGGACCCCATAGTGCCTGGGGTGATATCTCCATAGGACACTGCAGGTACCTGTGGAGGCACCTCTAGGGTCAGAGAGTCATGGAGTGGCATCACCAGGGACATTGGGGGGCACCCAGGGTGACATCTTGAGGGACACTGGGGCTTTTGGCATCTCGAGAGGGTATCAGGGCACCCAGGGTGGCATCTCTGGGGCTTTCAGCTGCATCCAGGGGTGGCACCTTCTAGGACCACCATGAAGTATCCGGGTGGCACCGTGGGGACCTGGGAGTGTGGCACAGGGCAAGTCCAGAGTCCTGCCTGGCCCAGGGTGACATCCAGCCCGGGGTCCTGCGCACCCACCTTCTGCGCGCAGCGGCCCCGGCGGGCGCCTCGACACGTCCCGTCTGTGCGTCCGTCCGCCGGGCGAGTGAGCGGCGCGGGCGCCCGTGGGCTAAGGGCGG